CACACTGGAACTGTAGAAAGGCGGCAGAAGTTGGTCGCCTCATCGTCTTCGACTCTTAGGATTAGAAGGTTATCTACCAAGGTTAGTTGTTCCCCATACAGTTGGCCGCTTCTCAGGAGGTTGCTGGTGAAGTGCAGGCGTTAGAACATTCCATAACGTTCGAACTCGATGTGATAGCCACTAACGATCGATTAAGCGCTAAACTAATGGATTTGCTGGGTGATTCTAACTTTCTACCGGATATCTGCTTTCGAGTGAGCTTACTCTTTGTGTCATCTGGTGCATGCGGCTATTTTCATGTTCAGCGTAGCCATTCCTTCTCATCTTCCACAGCGGATTTGTCTAGTATAGTGTCCCGCGGTACGGCGGTTAGTACTTGTAGGCTGTTGTTTGTACCGTGGCTGGGATTCAACTGATCGATCTGCTTGACTCATTACTCACTTCCGACGCTATCAATAGTCATGAAATTACGGGAAGTCTGTTTGATGTTTAAATGCTGTCATGCTTTCCTTTGCTCCTTAGCACAAGAATATCAAACATTGTTCAGACCTTTCGTCCTAGTGAGTCTTCGACAGCAGACTTTCCATTTTGGTCGTTTGGGTTAGAGGCATTCAGAGACGCACCTGAACGGCTGGATTACGTCCTGTGAAGACCTTCTTCTTTCGTTTTACAAATAGCACGTTTACACGTATCCACGAGTCGTTCCACTTGCTTATTTGATTGTGGATGATACCGCGTTGACAATATTTGCTGAATTCATTTTGGTTTGCAAAACCCGCGGAATTGTGTTGCGGTGAATTTTGCACCATTGTAGGTCAGGTAAGCGGAAAAACTGGAGCAGCTCGTACAGTTCTTCAGTGATGTTTCGGGTAGTCTGACTGTGCATCGGAACCGCGTCGGACTACTCGGTGATGCAGTCCACTGAAACGAGGTTCGGTTGGCTGATGGTTAGTCTAACATAGTCCAAGTGAGTTCGCTGTCATGACCTCGCCTTTTTGGGCCAGAGTTGCCATTCACATTCAGGATGGCTTTGAATTCAAGTTCACTGTGTTCGCATTTGTGGAAGAACTTCGATTTCTGAATCCATTTCGGCTTGATAGACAAAACTGCTTGCCAAGGCTTTCATAGGGCTTGTACCACGGTTTCCTACATGAAACTGCTGTAAAATTTACCTCGTGCGATAGGGATCCGCGTGGGTTGAAGAACGCCTCAATCTAGCAGGGGCGCAAAGAGTACATCAATTTGTTTGCACGTAACGCATCGTTTTCTCAATGACTTGGTCCTGGGAAGGTTCCGTAAACATGAGGTCAGTTGCTACTCTGATCTACTTAAATTACGGGCCGGGATTTATTTGAATTCTGACTCGGTTTTGATAGCTGCACTCATTGTAATTGTTCTCCTTTGGGTGAGACTGGGCATCTGCTTGACCGGTTATTTTCGCTTAAGCCGATAGAACATATTAAAATCGTACTCCAGCCGTAGGGTCATCCAGCTTTGTAACTCATTAGCAGTAAAACGGGGATTCTTTTCTTGAATCTGAATATTGACATCACGGGTTCATGCTCAGTGAGTAGCGTGAAATGTATGCCATTGAACTTCCTGTGAAACGGTTTCGTCGCGAAAACAATCGCGAGCCATTCCATCTCAAACTGGCTGTAGTTCCACTGACCTGATATCAATGATCTTTCTGCACGCACGATAGCCTTCTCGCCTCCATTGTGGCAAAATTGGCAAACAAAAGCACCGATACCATAATTGGAACGGTCGGAAACAACGAGAGTTTCCACGTTCGGATTGAAATGCGTCAGCAGTAAAGCAGAAATGATGGCTGCTTTGACCACATCAAAGTATCGATGATATTTTTTTGTTTATTATCAAACTTTGCCTTTCGTCAGTAACTGGTTCAGCCAACGTCTCGCATGATTGAGGTTTGTATGGGAAGGCTATACTGGCTCATAAGACCAAGGGACGAACGGAAGTCTGCAGCATATTTTGAAGACTTCAACACTTTATAGCTTTTAAACTGGCGAAATCGACCGTATTTTCCGAGGTTAAACCCGCGAGATTGACATTCTCTAATAAGAGGAAATATTTTCAATCCGTACTCGAATTACAGTTTCTTCCAGATGTGAAAGTACTCTAGAACTCTAGTGTATGCAATAAATCCTTCCAGTCCTTAGTCCACAAGTAAGCGCTGTCCATGAATACTGCGGTATTGAGGATGTCGTTCAGCAGTGTATTCACAATTAGTTGAAAAATCGCCGGTGCGTTTTTCATTCTGAAAGGTTATCGGTTTTAGTGGAACAATCAAAGTGCGTATTAACTGTGCAATGTTATGCATTCCTCAGCAACTGGAAATTGCAAACAAACGTCGGGGAGGTCAACTTTGGGGAAACATTTACTACTGTATGGTTTAAAACCGCTCTTCCGGTACGGTTAAGAAATACGGATGAGTGCACAACACATAAATCAGGCATGTTGTCAAATCAGATCAGATATGGACCTTTGTTCTTTACTACAACAACTGGTGTCGTCTATTATTTGTACTGAACTGGTTCGAGTATGCCTTCCGATTGCAATAGATTTAACCCGGCTTCAACTAACGATTGAGTTGCGTACGCCGTCAGGCGCTTTGGTCTGAAGCTTAGCTTTGTGTCTGGCTCAAGATTCAATACAGCCCTGGCTATCTTGCAACCTCTGAAACCAGGTTTAAACGGTGCTCCGTATAGTCGTTTCATCACTGTAATTGGGCTTTGTAGCACCGAGCGTTATATGGACATTTATAGCAGTTGGTTCACTCGTCATGGCTGGCATATACTGTTTAATGTCTGGCCATACAATTTCAACCCATCCACTCTAATTCCAAAAAATTTATTATCTATATCCTGTCACGAAACCGGTTGTGTGGATTTATTTATTAGGAAGTTGGTAGTTTAATTCACCAAGTGGTTTTATCTTCCCTCTGAATGCATTCTGCATCATTATGGTCCGTATGTACGAGTGTTGCCCACGTATCGCTGGTACATTGGGATATCTGAAGCAGTAGGAACTTTTAACTTGACTCGTGTATCATTGATTTTCACAGTTGTGTACTACTGCTAACCGTATAAAGTTTTAAAATCGCGGTGATAGTTCTCAGTAGCGTTGTAACGCTTTTCTGATCAAGGTAGAACGATCTGCCGAGCAGCCCCAATCATTATGATCTGTTCTACCACAACGATTGCAAATACGATATTTGAATGAACATCCTCGAGCTATCCACAAAACAAACAGGCACCAAGGGATTTGGAATATGATGGAATCACGTGAACTGCTTACTTTTGGCGAAATACGCAGCTGAATACGCAGTTGAACGCATGAATGTTCGGGTCGAATAGCTTCTGGAGCAACGAAGTATCATGCTTCATTTTCCTTATTCTTTGACTTTCACCGATCACTTGTTACAGCGGAACGTCAGGATTCCGTTCAGTTTTGCTGGGCATCCTTTTCAGAATGTCGGCATCCTTCGCTGCTTTTAGACCACCAACGTATATGAGGAACTTTTATTGGTCGTCTGTCATGTTGTGAAGTGTGACCGTTCGCACTCACGATTCACAGGCCCCAAATAGTTGAGGCAATCTTCGTCTTCTTTTGTAGTTATTGTCACACATTTATACTTGCAATTGAATAGAGATGTTTGGCCCCTAATTTTTGTGACAAAACTGCAACGATTTCATTAAGCAACAGATCAATGCAGAATTAACTTTGTGAACTTTCCATGTTCGTTAGCAGCCGGTTGCCGCAGTATAAAGCGAATTTTATTCTCTTCTGCGACGTCTACCAAATCAGCATTTACCGTGTTCTTACTTGTGGCAACAGAAGACGTTTGTTTTGCCAACATCCGCATCATAACGGAACTCACCGATCTACTTCGTCAGAGTTTCCGGAAAGAGCCCACTTCACTTTCCCCTAATCCTGAGCCTGGCTGCATTGACCCCTTCTGCGTCAATGTTTCAATCAGCTTGGTCCGCGAGTTTTCAAACGGCTGATCGCCGTTTTCGAGTTCAACTGGAAAGCTCCACTGTTACTGTTGCAACGCTGCTCGCGCTCAACTCTTCCAGCTCGTCCGCAACAAAACAAGACTCTTCAGAACGCAGTATATTGAGGACTTATAAATGCTTATTATTATACGCCACACCTCCTTTTTCCGTCTTTCAATCCGATTGTACGTCGCCTGGCTGACTGGCGAGCACCTGTTTATCCATCTTTGTACGTACTTGCTGTCTACTGTTTAGCTGGATTTAAGCCTGGTAAATCGCGACCTCGCTCACGCACGGGCTGACGCAATGATTTAAATAAATAAATAGTAACGCCTTCTGTCGACGGTGAGCCTATTTCGTCAGCCAACTGCGTGGTCTGCTTCCGGCTGACTTCGCATCGTAAGCATGTGTCTCAGCATCCATCTGTTGCTACCAGTTAACAAGGAGTCTCTGTTGATCTGGCCACTTACACCACTAAGACCGGGGATCTACAGCAGACAGAGCTCCGTCATTATTCTGAAGATGGAAGACTCCAGAGTGTGCACATCACCCTGGAATGCAGCCTATCATTGTTGGTAATTTGGCAGTCAATTTCGGTATCATTTCATGGGTTTGTCCAGCTTTAGAGTTGATGCATCTTAGTGGTCCGTCCTCCTTTGTAGAGTCACTGGCATTTTCGATAGTTCAACCAATTGCCGCAGAGCTGCGAGTACGCTTCTCATTGAACAATCCCTTAATTCAGAGCGATTAATTGCTGCATTCTACCTAGCATCGACAAATTTCCAAACCAAGTGAGCCAACTCGCATGCACATTTATATGTAAGTCATGAGATTGAGTGCGATTTGTGACCCATATTTATTGATTTATTGTGTTAGCGTCTCAACCACAGACTAACGCGAAACTCCACGCTGAATTTGCTCAAGTTATGCATTTGAAAATACTTTACCGAATACTCTCGCTTTATTTCTACCCTCTGCCAGAAATTAGAGCCTCAAAAATTCCAGTCAGTTTGGATTCGACCGTTTGAAATGTCTTCTCCCACAGAAGGCCCTGATGGCTATGCAGAAGCACCGTTTACACCGGATGATGGTCAAAAACTGAGCACTGGACTCAGTTTTGCAAAGCGTATTCTGGCCGATTTTAAACGTGCTGCAGTCCTTTCTGCTTATCGGTAACATATAAATCATGAATCATCGACCAGACAACATCGCTGGCAATGCATATGTAATATTTAAAAAATAACATTAATTAAAGTGAATTGCTGTTTTGTGCCTGCAACTGTTTTGTCTTCTTTTAAACTGCGGTGAAGGATACGAGGGAACTGTGCGATTACCAGCATAAAAACACATTTTGTGGTACGAGGACGCGTGAGTAATTTGTAGCAAGGAACTCAGGTACTGGTTGCGAGGAGAACCAGTAGGAACGAATACGGATAACAATTATTCAGAACTGAGTAAGTAACCGAGCCCAAAGTGCATTGTAAAGGGTTGCAATGAACTAGAAGCAACTTAGCAAGAGCACTAAGGTATCATGCGAATTACAGAAAATGCAAAAGTGAACGAGACGTGCCATCAGTAAAACAAGTGGAAGATCGGAAGACACAAGCAAGACTAAAATACTGTCACAAAATACTAAAAGCGTAAGTGCTTCATGTTCACTACAGGCGTCTCTCTCTACAAGGTTGAATGACGGAATCCTTCGACAGAGATGTCAGGTGGGTGAGCAAAGTGAGAATGGGAAAGTAAATTAGTAGTAGTAGTAGTAGTAGTAGTAGTAGTAGTAGTAGTAGTAGTAGTAGTAGTAGTAGTAGTAGTAGTAGTAGTAGTAGTAGTAGTAGTAGTAGTAGTAGTAGTAGTAGTAGTAGTAGTAGTAGTAGTAGTAGACGCACGCGGACAGAGGGCGCGCGTGGAACAATGAACAATGATATATTACAGGTAAAAACGCGAGTGCTTTACAAGTCCCGTAGGATGGTTGAAGTGAAAGCAAACATAAGTGTAAGTCGTCAATTTAAGCGTCTAGCGATTCGGATGCCCTTCTTCAACTAAACATCAGAATGCGTATTGATTTGTTACTATAGAGCAATATGGGGAAGTAATATGAGGAAGGTATGTCTTAAGAACAAAAGAAACGACGACGCTTACTCGTGCGCCGCTTTCTTGGACTGATGTAATTGATGAATGCAGTTGTAGTATATCCGAACGATATTCCACAGCAGCGTGTAAGTAGTAAAGCACAAAAGCTGAGAATGAGCACCGTTTGTTTACGTTTGGTTGACGTAGACATCACTGACTATATGGCATAATTTAAGTGGATAAGCGAATCATCCAGACGTCTTTTGAATACCGTTAGCGTAGGGGAAGAAACAATGTATGTGGGAAGAGCGTTCCAGTGTTGGCACGCACGAAGGGAATAGAAATTCCGGCGGCATTCCAACCGGCTGTATTGTGTGGCCAGCTTTAGCTGGTGTCCTCTGAGTGTGGTACTGTCATTCAGTTTTAGTAGGTGACGACAAGAATGGTTTGGATTCCTCAGGATCATTTAAGTCATTATCAAGTTGCTACGCAGGCGTCGACACTGTTGTTCGTTGGGTCCCGGCTTCTTTGTTGTGTTATTTGTTATTTGGGTGTAGACTGAAGTTCATCATTGGTGGGCCGTCGAGCGGGCTGGTCGGACTGCAGAAAACGGGCTAATCCGGATAAAAGGCCAACAGGACATTTGCTCCGCTGCGGCCCAGTGGTACGTTTGGGAGGTGTCACTCGCTCCACCGTACTCGGAGTCCACGGCCGTAATGATCTTCGTCCCACAAAGTATTCCGGACGTCTTTGGGGGCCAGACCAGTCATTGTTGCACAGGTAGGGGGGAGTTGCATTCGCTCGGAACCAGGATTATGGGGTCGGAAGCTTCCGGCAGGTGGGCTAGGGTATACCGCGGTTTCTCAGGGAACTTGAGTTCTGGAATGTAAAACTCGGGGAGGGTGGGATGTTGTCGGGATAGGCGGCGCGATGCTGTATTGATAATGAGGCAAGTATACGAAACAAAAATCGGTACACTAATTTGCTTGTTTGTAGTAAACGGGTTTTAGTTTTTTGTTGTTTTGCAAAACGTTGATGAATGAAACACACGCTTAGCATGAAAGGTGGAAAATACGCATGTCAATGAACATAGCAAACGTTGACAATATCTGAGAAGCGGATTGGACGTTTGACCTGTGTACCGCGCCGATCATTCGCCTGGGGCTGGGGGTGAAGTCAGCGTAGGTGACTGGTACAGATGTGGCTGCTGGTGTGTTTACCTTTGCAGCTGTACCACGTAGTGTTGGGGTGGAATTTTCAAAAGGTGCTACCTTAAGACGATCGATGGTCACTGCTGCTCGGTAAGCATTCTGGTCTAAGGTAAAATGCTAAGGTGTTCGTTGGAGAAATCTTAAGGGGCCGGTATAGGGAGGCTGAAGGGAGCGAAGCAGTGCGTCTGTGAACACGAAAACTGGGTGCAGGTATAGCGTCCACTGTGAATTTGTACATCTCTGGTTTGCTCACGAAGAGGAGTCGAGCGCAGCAAACGCATACGTTGAGAAAGGGAGACTGCGAAGTTTGACGGTGGCATACACTATGGCGTTGAGGGGGAGGAGGGCGAAATAAACTCTCCTGGCAGCTTAAGTGTTGTGCGCAGACCATCTCTGTTGGTGCGCACTGCAGGTCAGCTTTGATGCTGCTGCGGATATCTAGTAGTACTAACGGAATGTTTTCGCTGCAGTCGGGGTCAGAATTAACACCGAGGGATGACTTAACCTGCCGATGAAAGCTTTCGCCGCAGGGTGATTTGCCGTCGTGTGGATACAGCGGCAGCCCACCAAGTAGCAAAATGTATCGAATTGCTAACATTCGAAAGGTGTTCCACGGTCGGTACTGAGGGTAGATGGGCACCCGTGGTGGAACACCAACTGTCCAAAAAACATACGAGTACTTGTTTTGGCCGTGCAGTCTGGTACAGGGATGGCTTCTGGTCATCTAGTCAATACACCATCATCAACCATCAACAACAACAGTGCATCAGCCATTTGAGCTGACGCTTCGCTGCCATACAACCATGAAAACCTATGAAATAAAGAATAATAAGAGGGAGAGAAGGGGGTTTGCCTGTAAACCTTAATGCCCTAAGCAACGATTCAGCTTCAAGGTGCCTACACCTTGTGTTAGCAACATACCGTCACAAACACCTGGCTATCGTGCAAAGACACCTGTCCGTATGTATCCGGATCCGCGAAAGGGAAGTAAGTGTCCTAACAAGTCGAAGTGCACGTGTGAGAACCGCGAATCCGGAGAAGGGAAATTACCTAGACGGCGACGATTGTGTCGGCATACCTTGGGGCCTTGGCAGTGGATACAAGCTGGAGCCCAGTTACGAATATCTCTTCTCACGCTTGGCCAAACAAAAGGCTCGGTGACCAATTTTAAAGATGCGCGGATACTAGGGCGAGACAGTGAGCGGAGGGCGTCGAGGACTGTGCGTCTAAAAGAGACGGGCACGACGAGTCTTAGACAACCAGTGGAAAGGTCACAAAGGATGGTTCCGTCTGTATTTTGGAGAGGAACGGGTTGCACATACAGTGCCATGGATTGCAAGGTACATTGTAGGTCTTTGTCTTGGGCCTGAGCTAATGCCATGGCGGCAAGGTCGACAGTAGACAAAAAGTAATGAGTGAAGTTGACGTGAGAGGGAGCATCAGCGATGGGGTTGGCGACACCTGAGACACTCCGGATGTCAGCAGTGAATTGTGGGACAAAATCTAGCTGTCTGGTTTCATGTGGTGAATATTCGACAGATGAGGAATTAAAGGCAAAATTGTGATTAGTGTGGACCTTGAAAGTCCGGCCTTCTAAGGTGTGCCGGAAGTGACGAATAGCTAAGTAGATGGCAAGCAGTTCTCTACCAAACGTGCTGTAACGGCATTCCACTGGTTGCAAGCGTTTGGAGAAGAAGCCTAGTGGTTCTCACTTTCCACTGCAGAACAGATCCTATTGCAACGTCTGAGGGGTCAGTAGTCAGAGAGAGGGGAAGCAGACGGTTCGGAGTGAGCAAGGAGAGCTATGTTGTCGATAGCATCCTTGAGCTTGGTGAAAGCCGTGTGTGCTGTGTCGGGGAAAGTAAAGTTACGTTCGTTTCTTCTGAGGAGGTCGGTCAGAGGCTGCATAAGTTGCGCGCAGCGGGAGACGAAGCGTCGATAGTATTTGACCAAACCACAAAATCGACGTTGGTATTTCAATGAAGTCGGGGCTGGTAAGTCTTTGATGGATTGGAACTTGTCCGCAAGGACCTCGATGCCAGATGATGAGACGAGGTGGACTAGGAATTCTACCCAGGACTTGCCAAGTTCGCATTTTGTCAGATTGACGGTGACGCCGTGTTGGGTCAACCGCTGGAAGGGTGATTGAAGCTGAGCTAGGTGCTCTTCATCGAACGAACTGGCTATTAGAATGTCGTCGAGGTAGGGATGAGCGAAGTCTAGGCCACGCGTGACATTGTGGATGAAGCGCTGAAATTTTTCTGTGACATTGCACAATCCGAAAGGCATTCTCAAAATTTCGAACAAGCTGATAGGGGTAATGACGGCTGTCTTAGGTATGTCTTTTTCCTCTACTGGTATTTAGTGATGAGCTCGAACAACATCGATCTTATTGCAGACCGTCTTGCCTGCGCAGCATACAGTGAGGTCCTGCTTATGTGGGGTGGGGTACCTGCCGGGGACCGTAAGTTTGTTAAGAGCCCGGTAGTCACCGCAAGGGTGCCAGTCGCCAGATTTCTGTTGGATCATCTGTAGTGGCGAGTACCAATGGTTATCCGAAGGGTGGATTAGTCTAAGTTCGAGCATGTGCTCATACTTCGTCCTAGCTTCAGTTTCTCCTACGAAAGTCGGAGGGGGCGTGATGAGACGGATGGGCCGTTGGTACGGATATGGTGCGTGACCTGAGATGCCGCAGGAAGAGCTTCGTTTATTGGCTGTACGAGCTTAGGGTCCTAAGAGAATAGTCGGACATAGTCGGAGGAACTCTATAAGCAAACGTAGACTGTGATGATAGCTGCAATGCGAGCGGTGGTGCCAGCGGCGCTGCGCTTTGTTGCGTGGTCGACTAACCTCAGTCGTTTCGCATCGATTAAGAAGTCAAATTGTCTAGGG